GAATTTTAAAAGATGTAAAAAACATTTTTAAAAAAATTGTCTATATGCAACACGAAACAAACATCAACATAACTCTAAAAAAAAAAATTCTAAAAGGTTTTAGATTTTAAATTACTTCCAAAGGGGCATTTTTTAACATTTTGTGTGTTACCTTTATTTATTAAATATCATGTTTTTCGCACTAAACAGCAATATCGCAAAATAATTTTAAAATGTGCATATCTTTAGAATTTCCGATACAAAATCTCGCGCGCTGGAGATAATTCCCCGTTCCCCCGTATAGTGTTGCCATTGCTCGCTTTGAAATCGTCGAGTTTGTTAATCAAAAATTCGTTGAAGTATTACAAATTATGAAATCGATAATAAAACAAATTTCAAATTCAAATTCGGGCTTCGCCCATATTCTATGGAAGATTACGTTATTCGAATTTTGATGGCTCTAGGTGCCGTTGTTTTATTCCAATGCAAAAAACATACATACATTCATGCAAATTCCTCATTATTTAATTTCTATAAATATAATACGAGGTTCTAATATTTGGTGGCAACAATTTGCAAAGTGATTCTATAAGGTATTTCTCCCACTTCCCTAGCGTGCCTTCGTGGTGTAACTGTAGCACGCTGAGCCGGTATTCCAGAGGTTAGTGGTTCGATTTCTGGCCAAGGCGATGCTGGTTTTTCAATTCTCCTGCTTCCAAACATATACCTAGTGTCTCTACAAGTGGCGCCCGAACTAAAAGGGCTGTGGATGACGATTCTCCGCACCCAGGATTTGACGACTAAATTCCCTAAAACTCTAGTCGCCCTTTAAAAAGGGGAGTATATAAGGTATTTCTCCCACTTCCCTAGCGTGCCTTCGTGGTGTAACGGTAGCACGCTGGGCCGGTATTCTAGAGGTCCGTGGTTCAATTCCCGGCGAAGGCGATGCTGGTTTTTCAATTCTCCTGCTTCCAAACGTAAAATGCCAAAACGAAATTAATACTCCTTCAGGGCAAATTGTCCCTTTGGACTAGAAATAAAGCAAAATGTTCCTTATTTCAGTGGAAATTCTGCAACAGATGTTAAATTACTTACCTCCCACCAACCTGTATGCATAGTTGAGGGAAGTAGTGCCAAAAGTTTTCGGTCCAAAAATTCAACAGTGAGTTTTCAGTGAATAATCGAGAATGAGAATCTCTGCAACACATTATTATTTTTTTTATCTGCAATAATTCTTGTATCAAACTTCTAAAAATTTCTATTCCAGGGTGTTCCTTATTCTAGTCTGAAAAGAAATGTAGTAAAAAAAAGCTAATAAACTCTTATTCACGATTTCTAGTAATTTGTAAACTATCAGTATATCATTCATAGTAATGAGTTACATAATCTAAATTTCTGCCACATACAAATGGAAGTTCATAATTATTAGTCCGAAACTGCGTTAGGCCAAATGGGCTATTAGTATCGAAACAGTATTTTCCGTCCTCAACTTATAAGGTATTTTTTCCCATCTTCCAGCATGCATTGTGTAACGGTAGCACAATCGGAGCCTATTCGAGAGGTCCAGGTTCAAGTCTCGGTGAAGGCATTGCTCATTTTTCACTTCTTCTGCTTTCAAAAAGCATAATAACGCTAGACACTATAAAGGACGAATCACATTCAAATTTTTGCCACTAAATATTATCGCCCTGTATTATGTTTAAAGAAATTAAACAAGTCATCAGTATGTATGTATGTATGTTCTTCGCTCTGTGAAAAAACAACAGTATCTAGAACCACTAAATTTTGAATAACGCTGTTCTCCACCCGAACAGGGGCACACGGTAGACCGAATTTTATGTTTCATATTTTCTAAAATTTAATGAATTTTTTATTAACAAGCTCAACGGTTTGAAAGCTAGTATGGCGGCACTGTACAGAATAAAATTTTTTATCTCTATAGCGCGAGACTGTGTCAGAAATTGTAAAAATATGCTTGTTTTTAAATATTTTGACATTTTGCTGTTGACCTGAATTTTATGTGGTTTAAGTGGAAAGAACGTGATAATATGTAATATGTAAAAATATGCTTGTTTTTAAATATTTTGACATTTTGCTGTTGACCTGAATTTTATGTGGCTTAAGTGGGAGGACGTGATAATAAGTAATTTGTAAAAATATGCTTGTTTTTAAATATTTTGACATTTTGCTTTTGACCTGAATTTTATGTGACTTAAGTGGGAAGAACGTGATATCTAGTACATTAAGTTCACGCGCAAAACGTTAATAATAAAAAGACACAAAAAAGTTTTGTAACCATCTTACTAAGAAAACTAAACATTGATATTGAGAAACATTGAACTGGGAAAAAAACGAATAATGTATGTCAACTATTAACGTTGCATGGGGAATGCTAAACATATGCTGCTATGAAGATTTTGAAATTTTTGTAATTTTACTGTTGAATCGTATTTGGTGTAGGTACGAAGAAAATTGTCCTTAAGAATAAAGCTAGGGGTGAGTAGAACAACAAATTGATAGGCTGCAAGGTCAGAGAGAGACTTTAAATGTGGCTTCACTTTTCAAAATGTTGCCACCAAATATTACCGCCCTATATTATATTTAAAGAAATTCAATAATGAAGAATCTGCATAAATGTATATATGTTTCTCGCATTGTTGTAAAGCGACGATACCTAGAGCCATGGAATTTTGAACAGTGTGCGTTTCCACCCCAATATGGGCATCTGAAAGCCAACATTTGTAATTGATTTTATTATCTATTTTATGTTTTGTAAAAGTTTAACGAATTTTTGATTAACTCTTTCACAACCAATCCGCCCCACATGGCCCTACATTGAAACAACCAGAACCGACCGAAAACGGCCGAGATTGTAATTTTGTGTTCTTCCCTCCTCCTAAGGTAGGCAGTAGCAGGTGTAGTTTTCCCAAATGCATTGTATCAGTTTACTGCAGACCGCTTGTCCTAAGAGGTTTCTTATCTTTTGGTTGCTCGTGACATTTCGTTGTTGATTCTTTTGTGGTACAGTGTGCTTTTAAACTTTAAACAGCAATAAAAGTGTAGTTAAAAAATTTAAGGATTATATTTATTTTAAATCCATTTTTTCCTTCCTATAAAAATAACGGAAATAAACAAAATCTCAGTCGTGATCATAACAAAGCCGGAAAGGCTTGGCTGACCTTCAGAATAGTTTTATAAAGAACGGGGTCAAAGGCTAATGGAATCTTTGTTAGAAAGTACAAAGGATGTCATTCGAAATCTTCACACCTATTTTCTGCGTTAATGGACGGGAGGGGAGGAATTTGCTGTGAAACGGGAAAAGTATTTCGGGCTGTTCGGTATTTTGAGGATACAGGATAGCGAAGGGTCTGGATTTCAAAGAGTTAACAGACTCAACGATTTCAAAGCCAGCAATGGCAACACTGTACGAGAAAAAAAGCATTTTTATCTCCTGGGCGCGAGACTGTATGGGAAATTCTAAAGACAGGCTCATTTTAAAATTATTTTGTGATATTGCTGTTGAACTGAATTTTATGGTTTAAGTGCAAAGAACATTATATTTAATAAATAAGGGTAACCAACAAAACGTTAAAAAAAGTCCCTTTGGGCGCAACATAGAATCTGAAAGCTTTCAGAATTTATTACTTACGCTCATATTCTAATGTTGAAGACAGCACATGACTGCATGCGACCTAATTTTATTTTATTGCATTTACTATCATTAACCTATATGGCAATAATAGCAGATGGCATGGTAAAACAGGGAGGAGAGAGTGTTCCCAACTTTTGTAATTAATTTTCTAGCCCGATGGGCTGGTAAATAGGAATGTTTTCGAAATTTCTTTATTGTTTAATTCGGAAAGATTTATTGTTATTTAATAAAAATTGTAAAATTTTATATTAGATTAAAATTTTTCAGTATTTCTTTCTATTGAACACGATATGCATCACACAGACCTTTTGGATTAAAGGAAACTATTTGCACATATTATTTCAGTTAAGTGCATTAAAGACTGATAAAGCCTACTTGAAATCTGGCTTGCACTGATTCTGGCACTAGATCAATCTTCAGTTTCTGGCCATCTAGTTAGAAGACAGCAAAGAATGGCATGTGTACAAAGATTCGGACCAATCCAGTAAAAAATACTTATTAACTAAATTAATAAAAAATAAAGGAATTATCTTCTTCCTCACAGCGTTCCTTCATTCTAAATAGCTCCAGAAATAGTGCCTCAACAAAAAATATGGCGGTGAATAATCTCCTTAGTTGCCCTTTCCTGCACCTTTAGTTGTTTTTAAGTAAGAGAGAATATAAGAAGCTTCTTCCTTCTTCACTGCCTGCCTTCGCTATAACAATTGGAAATACGTCCGACTAGCAATCAAAAGGATTTCGAATCTCGATGACGGTATCGCATATTTTTCTTGTTTTCAGCGCTGATGAAAAAAAGGCCTAATATACTGGACATAATTACCGCATGCTTCCTTTTAACGTTATTTAATATTAAATTGCACATGCCAAAGACCGATAAAAATTTTATTTCTTAATATTGTCACATATCAAATTACCAGTATTCCGAAAACTAAAGTATGTCAGATAAATTTCAGTTTCCATTTTGCTTCTGGAATTACTCCCAGGAATTCTATACTTTATACTATATAAGTATTTTTTACTGGATTGGTCCGAATCTTTGTACACACGGCATTCTTTGCTGTCTTCTAACTAGATGGCCAGAAACTGAACATTGACCTAGTGCCAGAATCAGTTCAAACCAGATTTCAAATAGGCTTTATCAATCTTTAGTTCGATTACTGCATTTAACTGAAATAATATGTGCAAATAGTTTCTCCAAATAAATTCCTTTTTCATAGCCTTTAAACATAACATTCACACGAAAGATACTACTATCTTAGAATGCATAATTATAATTTTTATTCTGATTGCTTTGGGCTAACTTACTTATAATTTTTCAGATCATTTATAAACTTTTGATTCTTATAACTGAAAATGATTTCTCTTTCAGATATGTTATGGTAATGTACTACCAGGCGTCGGAGTTCAAAGCAGCCAATCGCAGCATCTACCGCAGCCGAAACCTGCTCAGAATAGGGACGCAGTTCCTCTGCATCTTTCGGTTATTCCTCCGCATCAGTCAGGTTATATTATTCTTCCCAAAGCTAGTTTTGTTATTCCAAAAAATAATCAACCCCATCTGGCTGCCGCTTCAAATAGGAAACCTGAAAGAAGACCTCCTAATGCTCCACCAGGACCACCGCCGGGACTAGGCAACGTCAGAAATTCAAACAATAGGCAAAGAAGGCCACCTCAACAGAATAAGAAAACTAATCCTGTCTTTAATAATGCCCCACATCAGCCATCAGCTAGCCAGCATATACAGCATGTCCTGACTAATGGACCATTCCCTGGAAGACCAAACATTAATCTCCAGTTTCACGATGCAACCCTTCCTCAGAATATTAAACTTGATCAAGCAGGACCCAACAGACCTCCTGTATTACCAAATTTTCAGACACACCCCCCTCTTGTAAATCCGAGCATCAAACATAATGATTTCTTGCTCAATGGGTTGCCCCCACGAAAGATCAACAAACACAAAAACCGACCAAAAAACGGACCACATTCTCTAACAATCCATGGCCTGGAAACCGGTCATATCATCACAAGCGATTCAACCGAGGAACTGAAACTAAATTCTCCGATATTGCCCCAGACCGGGAATGGTGAAGCATTTGATCTGTCTCACTTTTTATCTACTGCTCTTCAGGATAATAATATTCTGGAACAACCTCATGCAGAATCTCACGGCCCGTCAGAATCGCACGTCTCTTCAGAAAATGAAAAGCCTCCCCATGATCTACATGAAGAGAAGGCTCTATCCTCCAATCATGGCTCTTATTCAGATGCTCAGTCCCATGTAACTAAGATCCATGCAGAGCCTCTGAAGCAGCAGGAATCTGAAAATAACTATCACATTCCTTTCCCAGACTTTGCTGAACCAGAACCTGGACCTCCTCTTCAACCATCCAATTTCCAACCAGGTTTGTCAAATAACCGAATTTTAACTCCTCAGGAATCAAAGCAAAGTCAAGCATCAGCCAAAGCCAAAAATTCTGACACATTTGATCATATTCAAGAAGAAAGTGTACCTGTTTCTCTTTATGGACAAGTCCTTCCTCCAAATGATGCAACGTACAATTCCGAAATAAATAATTTTCCAGGTATCCATGATGTACATGATGGCCCCGAAGAGGAAAGGTGGCCTCCTTTAGCTATGCCTGAAATGCCAAAAATTATACATTTGGATGTGAAATGTGAGAAGAATTTGATGAGGATCTCCATCGATTTCGACAAACCTTTTCATGGCATTATATACAGCAAAGGACATTACAGTTATGGTCGATGCGTGCATCTTCCAGCTGGCTCTGGTCATAACAGCGTTCAGTTCGATATATCGATTAATAGTTGTGGTATGCAAGGAAGTTCTCCGACAGGTCACTACGGTCCTACCGAAACTGGTTCATATTTCGAGAATACAGTAGTTGTGCAGTATGACCCTCTCGTGCAAGAAGTGTGGGATCAAGCGAGGAAGCTGCGCTGCAACTGGCATGACCAATACGAGAAAACTGTTACATTTAGGCCATTCAACGTCGATATGCTTCAAGTTGTGAGGGCAGATTTTGCGGGTGACAATGTTGGTTGCTGGATGCAGATACAAGTTGGTAAAGGGCCTTGGGCCAGCGAAGTTAGTGGAATTGTAAGAATCGGGCAAACTATGACTTTAGTTTTAGCTATAAAAGACGATGAAAGCAAATTCGATATGATGGTACGCAACTGTATTGCACACGATGGCAACAGAGCTCCTATAGAGCTTGTAGACTCCTCTGGCTGTATCACGAGACCCAAGTTAATGAGCCGCTTCACAAAAGTGAAAAATTTCGGTTCTTCAGCTTCAGTGTTGTCTTTTGCACATTTCCAGGCTTTCAAATTTCCCGATTCCACAGAAGTGCATATTCAGTGCACCGTACAAATATGCCGACATCAGTGTGAAGACCAGTGCACTGTACACAGGAGGAAAAGAGAAGCTGGGAAAGGAGAAGTCAGAGAAATAGGGCTTAACGGCGTCCTACAAGTTGTAGCCATGGATGATCTGACATTCTCTCCTTTCAAAAACGAAACGGATAACACGAAGATTATAACCGAAAAAAGCCGTGTTTGTATGTCCTCTTCTGGATTCGCAGCCTCGCTCATTTTACTTCTGTCCATCGTTATAATATCTTGCTTAATTGCTGCTTTCCTTTTCTTAAAGCAGAAAAATGCTGCCAAAATGCCACCCTTACCTTATGACATGGCTATCTTCAAAAAGCACATAGAGAAACAAGTCCAGAAGCAGCAGCAACAAAACAGACAACAGAAAGAAAAAGGTGCAGCGAAATCTGGTTGTTGAACAGTGCATTTTAGGGCAGCATTAGTATGCCACATTAATACATAAGTGCCTAAAGAACTGTTTTCTTTGTCGTATTCGTGTTCGCCATCACCTTTGGTTTTTTGCTTTGTTTTTGTATCAATAACATGGAAGATGACCTATTACGCAATGTACTTATGAGTGTTTAGATTCAATTCCGAATATTTATTTCCAGTGAGACGGGTCTTCCAGCAAAGGGGCAATGAATTTGCTATTTAATTTCTTCTGTTATTTATATTAAAGCGTCGTTGGCAGCTGTAAGAAAAGGTTGCCATCAGTTTCAGAGAAACTTTCGATGCTTTTCTTAGTATTATTTATGTTTTGTATGACCATTAGACTTAATGTTATGATAATAGTATTCTTATTTTTATTTATTGATATGTGCTATTATAAAATGCATGTATTAAAGGCGCTAAGGACGCCTTAGTAACGTGACAGCACGTAAATCATCATAGGTTATTCATGTACAAATATTCTGGTGCTGGTCGCCATCATTTGTCTATTTCCCATTTTTGTTAAAGATTTTCATTGTTATGTATCACATTAGAGGTATTCTGACAGAAAAACGAAGAGTTTTAGTACATTAAATAAGTACTTAATATCAACACCTCTTTACAGCTGAAAAAAATGCTCTTCAAAATACTTTGCTTCGATATCAGCTATGATTTCGGAACAATTAAAAAAAAATCTGATTTAAAAAGTATAACAAAAAATATTTAAGAATAACTTAACGCTACCGGTTCAATATTTAAAGAGTTGAAATTCTAGCCATAAAACTATGAAATCCTTTTTGCTACTACGTAATCTAACTTTCATTTGTTACTTAGTTTTCGGGAATTTGATAGGATACACAAATGTTTTTACGACCTCTGGTAGGTTTCAAGCCTCTTTATTAAAATCGATTTTAAAAAATCAACAGCTAAATGCTGTATTTTTGACCTACTAGGTCACTGGATGTTTAATGCCTTTTTCTACTTTTTACTCTCTCTCTCTCTCTCTATATATATATATATGATGTACCAGCTTTAGTCGTAGCTTAAATTAACAGACGATAAGTTTTAATCACATTACAGGATTAATCACAAAACAGGATCCATTTATTATTATTCAGGGGAAATGGCAATTACAAAAATCTGATCTCCGGAGTAAATAAAAAAGAATTACTAATAACTTTTTGCATGAAGTTTACTGCATCGTTACATTAAAGAAAAGACCCCGATATTCCTTTGCGAGTCCTTTTATAGCCTCTGGAAAGGCGGAGCTTTCAAGAAATGACGTCAACCTCGTCAGCCGTTCCAGTTCGCTTTAAATATCTCCAGAACATTCTATAACTGTAGAAAAGGAGGGAAAAACAACTTGACTATGGGGCTGTGGATTTAATTCCACGTACTTTCAAATAAGAGACCGTCGCCATTAAAAATGAAAAGAACATACAGTTAGAATTTTAAGTGTATTCTTGACTATGGAATTTTATCATTACATATAAAACTGTTTTTTTATAACAAAATATAATTATGCTTAGTATTCGCTCATTAAGATACTTGAAAATTATCAGTAAAGACATAAAGTAAGAAATTTAGAACTAATTTTTCGCAAAAACTAAAAATTGAAATTCATAAGTAATAAATTTTAAATAATCCTTTAAATGCAATAAAAAACTTTTAAAATGTTAAAACCGAAACTTTTCAATCAAGCAATACCCCAATTCCAAAAATCGAATTAAATGTAAAATTTAAATTTCATTTAATTAAGCTTTAAATGAAATTTAAAGAAAAGCGAACTTAATAGAAGAGGAATTCGATACACTTGAATGCCACTTTGTCAGGAGGAGGAACATTGAAATCAATTGAAATCTGTCTTCCACAAAAATCCTCACTTTTTTGTATCCATCCTTATCTGGCCTTTATTTCGACAGTCGTTGATCGTAATCATATGCATCCAGTTACAGAAGTGTCTTAAATGACATGTTTCATGCTTTGCAATGTTTAAATTTTTTTTAATAATTTAGAATTTAAAAAATTTGAATTTAAAATTTTTAAATTCAATTTAGAATTTAAAAAAAATTAGAATTTTTTTAATAATTTAGAATTTAAAAAAATTTTAATAATTTTTTAAATAATATTTTTAAAATAATTTATTTTTTTCTAATAATTCGAATTTTCTAAATAATTTTAGACAAAATAAAAAATCTAACTTTTAACGAGGTCTCTTTTTTTATTTCCTTATATTTGGGAAGTTTTATATTCGTTATTAGAAAAATAAAATTATAGAAAATGTTTGGCTCCCGTATGACAAAAATTGACCGGATATTTAATTCCAAAATTCGCAGTTTTTGACTTTCTTTTCGACTTGCCTCGAGGGCTCGGTTAATTAATTTGGAATAATTCGAGGAAATAAGTTTAAATGAAATGCAGCAAATTTTATGTATAACTTAATAGGTCGTGTGGATCTGCATCAGATTTTTATTCTTTCTACATTGTAAAAACTTGACGGATGTTGTTGGAAGTTGAATCTCTTGACCAACTTAAATTGCAAAGCTGGATTAAAGTTTTTTCTCAGCCGGTATTTTCTTTACACATAGCTTTTTCTCAGCTCTTATTTTTATAATCTTTAAGCATCTTGCAAATCATTCGGCTCGTTTAGGGTTACACCTCATACAAAATATAGTGTTTTTCTCTAAATGAGCTTTCATCTTCTTTCTTGGATAGCACTGGTTTTCTTTATGCCCATCCTCCTTGGCGTTTATGTTATCTCAAATCTCATTCGTTTTTCTGCTGGTTTGCGTATAATTTTGCTGGTCTCTATATTAACAGCATTCAACTCGCTTTTTAAGAATAGGTAACAAGAATTATCTGGTCTGTAAAAGTTATCAATTTAAAGCAGACTATATTGTAAGGATCCTAAGTTTTACTAACGTTTATTTTATTTTAAAACTGTACTATCACTTCTTATTTTCTACTTCCGGCCAGGATTAAATGCTTTAACTTGTTTATGCAAATTGTCTTGCTAACGCCCAAGTATTTAAGTTGTGGCTTTTTACCAAGAGTTAGGGAGAGAGAAGGATATTTAGGAAGCAAGCCGCTTGCCACTGCAGTTTTAGGAGTTTTCACTCGGTTGCTGGTTGCCTTTAAGGCCAGAGGTTTAGCTCTCTTGATATTTGAAAACGTATTGTAGTTTCAGCAGCTCGGCGTACTACATACGTACCCTTTTAAATAAAGGCCAGTCTTAATGCTAGGCATTTGTATACTAATTCAAAGTTAGCTTTTAGTTAGAGTTTTAGTTAGTTGTTTTATATTCTTACGTTCAGACCACAAGTGGTTGGTCTCTGTATCCCGAAGTTCGGAAGTACTTGTAAAAGTATAGAAAATAAAGGGTTTCGTATACCCTTCCTGCTTGTATCGTCTGTTACACACAAACCTTAAAAATAGCTTGAGTAAGCTCCCTGTCCTAATCAGGACACATCATGTTTCCAAAGCAAATCAAGAGAAAGACAAGTCCTGACAATATATATACTGTATATACAGGGTGTATCAGTACAGTGTTGATAAACTTTCAGGAGAGATAGAGGACACCTAAACGATGGGAAATCACATGGTCGGAAACGCTTTCCAAGCGAGGTAGTGACGACACAAAAGTCAAGAAAGAAAGGACACACGAAACGGGGTGAGAATACATGTTTATTATTCGGAGTACAGAAAAAAATAAATAAATAAATAAATAAATAAAATAAAAAAATAATAACAACCATCTTTAAAGAAGGTGTTTAAAAATACGACCCGGACCGTGATACAGGAACCGTGCGTCATGTATCTTCCATGCGCCAGAGGGTCCATCAAGATCCGATGATTCGATGTTGTTTTATCGAACACCTTCTTTAACGACAATTGTTGTTTGTTTTCGTTCTTATATGTAGGTTTCTGCTGTACTAAACATAATAAAACATATTTTGTCTTATTGTTTGTGTCTTTCCTTTTTTGCGTTTTGTGTCGTCACTACTGTGCCAGGAAAGTGTTTCCGACCATGCATTCCTATGTGATTTCCCATCGTCTAGGTGTGTTCTTATCCCTCCTGAAAGTTTGTTAACGCTGTACTGACACATCCTGTATATTCAACATATATATATCTTTTTTTTTTTTTTCTTGCAGGATTTTTTTACCTCTGAAACTTCTAATATGATTCAAAGTTTTCATTATCATTGGTAACTTTCAAACAAAATTCGATAATGCATATAATATCTAGAGCAGGGGTTTTCAATCGTCGGTACGCGTACCACTAGTGGTACGCAAGAGAAAAATAAGTAGTACGAAAAGAAGAAAAGCATTTTTAACTGTTAAACTTAAAAATTAAAACCCCAACATCTTGATTGAGTTTTTTTTTTTTAACACTCGTAAATTTATGCGATCTAAGCTTTGCTCAAGAGTGGTGATGGTCGTGGTACTTTGTAGTGGTGGTACTAAAGTTTTTAAATTTTTTAGATGGTACGCTTTTGTCTAAAGATTGACAACAGCTGATCTAAAGCGTTCAGTCAATTAATTAGCGTTGCCAATATTAAATTACAACAGTTTCGTCTTTAAAAAATTATCAGAGGCTCTAGCTTGGCTAGATCAGCGCTGGAGTCTTCTTTCCAAGTAGTCTTGGGTTCAGATTTTACCTAGGATTTAGGAATTTACATTGTATAGTCTTGTTCTTTTGGGGAACATAAAATGACACCCTATGACTACCGACGAATGTTTTTAACAACCTTTTTACCTAACTAAACTGAATAGTACATGCATACACTCGGTGATCACAGTTTAACCACCACTTGTGCCTAAGTAACTTAATACAAAATGGTATATGCCAGCGGTGGCATATACCATTGACAATCCGAGCCATTTTTCAGAATTTGAAATTTTTCGCGAGCCGCAATTAAATACGTATTTAAAAGGTATGCAAAAAAGGTATTAAAATTTTTTTTACAGAAATTATATTTATTGAAAACATATAAAATAAAAGTACAAAATATGTGTATTGAATTTAAATATTAAAAACTAAACACAGTTATTTTACTTTTTTTTAATAATTCTTTAAAATTTGGTGAAAAAAATTGGTGACAGCACTTCTTAGTAATTCTTTGAGATGCTGGTTCGTTAATACTGATCGGTGTTTGGATTTCACGAATTTTAAAGTGGAATATAATGATTGACATAAGTACGTCGTTCCGAATATTGAAATAATTCGACAAGCAGCCTTTTTTAATTCAAGACAGTTCGAATTCTGGTACAAATTTCCAAAATTCAGTAATCGCTGTCGATTTATATTTTAATTGTATTAAAATATAAATAATAATCCATAATCTTCTTGCAGGATATAATCTTCTTGCATCTCTATTAATTCTAATTCTCCAGATGCTTTTTGGGTCATAATTATATTGGAAATGGAAAACTCACCTTGAATTATGTTGATTTAAAGTGCATTCAGAAAAAAAACCAAGATACGATGGGCGGAAATTGTAATTTAAAAGACATTTTGAAACACATACGAAACGATAGTAATTTTTTAAAACATAATAACACAAAAATGAAAATGGAACTGGGGTACATTTATCGAGAGCCACAAATAATCCTTCAAAGAGCCACAGGTTGGCCCACCGCTGGTATATGCAATCCCAATGAACTAAATTTTAACTACACGACTGGTTTCTACTTCAATCTTAATCCGCTTTATCGTCTGCACACAGCAGAGTCGAGTTTAGAATATTAATATAAATTAAAGTAAGTGGCTAGCACAAAATTATTCAGCAACACTTGCAAATACGAGGCATAAACTCGTAAGCAACTCTTCTACCGCGAACTCTTAAATTCTGATACTTAAATACTATATCCGAACTGATTTAAATTTGCATATACGTCGTTTAAATTTATATTCTTGCAGGAAATTGAAACCAGAAGGGAAAGGAAAGTTTCTTAAAATAAAAAAAGTAATTAATTATTACAAACTAAGGTCTTTACAACATAACGTCTCTCAAGAGTCGTAATCCCAAGGATTCTGGTGGTTTTTCTGATGGACCTCAAGCATATTGGCTCATTTGTTTCCCATATTTCGTTCTTTAGTTCCTTTGTATTAATTCTAAATAGTAAATTTATGAAAGAAGTGAATATATACGAGTTAAATGCATTTGTGAAATGTATTAATTCTAAATAGTAAATTTATGAAAGAAGTGAATATATACGAGTTAAGTGCATTTGTGAAATGTATTAATTCTAAATAGTAAATTTATGAAAGAAGTGAATATATACGAGTTAAGTGCATTTGTGAAATGTATTAATTCTAAATAGTAATTTATGAAAGAAGTGAATAATACGAGTTAGTGCATTTGTGAAATGTATTAATTATAAATAGTAAATTTATGAAAGAAGTGAATATATACGAGTTAAATGCATTTTGAAATGTATTAATTCTAAATAGTAAATTATGAAAGAAGAATATATATTAAAGCATTTTGTGAAATGTATTATTCTAAATAGTAAATTTATGAAAGAAGTGAATATATACGAGTTAAATGCATTTGTGAAATGTATTAATTCTAAATAGTAAATTTATGAAAGAAGTGAATATATACGAGTTAAATGCATTTGTGAAATGTATTAATTCTAAATAGTAAATTTATGAAAGAAGTGAATATATACGAGTTAAATGCATTTGTGAAATGTATTAATTCTAAATAGTAAATTTATGAAAGAAGTGAATATATACGTGATCAAAACTGGTTTTTTATCTTACAGCTCTTAGTGTAATCACTTTTCTAAATAATAGCAGCTAAAGCTAAAAAAAAAAAAAAAAAAGGGGGGGTTTAAATATTTTGAACCGCCTTTACTTCAAAAGATTATTTTAACCAAACCGATTCTTCTCCCCTCAGCACACTTTTCGCAGCTACATTATGTATTTTCGTACATTTTACATTTGTGTTTAAATATGTTACAATGGGCATACCTGTGACATAAAACTGCAGTTAAATCAAAACACTCTATGTGGCGAATTTTGTGTTACAGGAAGTTTGGGAAGAAATAGAACTTTTCAATATCTTCAAAGATAACTTAATCATAACCGAAATTTTAA